GTGATAAAATCTGAACCCGACTAGAAATAATAATAAAAATCTTATTTTTATTCAATAAAGTCATTGATTTAATTGAAAAATAATATATAAAGGGATATTATTGTAATTATTTCTAAATATATAAGGTAAAATTATATATTTTTTTCGAGTCGGGTCGGGTCAAGTATTTTTCATCCTAAATCTGAATCCGACCAGAACCTAAATGTTTGTTAAAAAAAATTGGATCGGGTCGGGTCGGAAATCGTCGGGTTAGGGTCCCATACCCATTTCTAGATAGATATACAATTTATATAGGATAAACTATTGAAAACAATAATTTTATATTTTATTTCATTACTTCATCACTGAGCCTACTAATCCCTGAAGTTCCCGATGAGGGAGAAAGGGTGAAGGAAGCGGAGCGGGAAGAAGTAACAATTACTATGAATATAATAATAATAAGGATGGCTTTGTTTGTTGTGTTGGATTGATATAAATAAAAGATAAATAGGATGTGGGGAAGAGAAGATAAGGTGGTGCAATGCAAGTGCAAATTAAAAGGAACCAACCCGACAAACAACAAAATCTCGCTTCTCTGTATTCTTTTTATCCTATCCAGCCTCTTGTTGCAGAGAACATGTCTCTTTGTTCATGTCATTCTCAAACAATAAAATATTTCAACTAACCCTTTCATGTATTAAAGTTTTACTTACAGAGAGAATAAATGTGCCATGGCTGCTCTTTTACTTTCTCTGCTACTGGTTAATCTGTCAATCTCAGACAGTTGCTTTGGAATTTGGGTGATCAAAGCCCCCTTTGTCTTTTGAATTGCTCTTCTTGTTGCAGATGGCAAAACAATTATACGCAATACCTCTACTCGCTTCCATTTTCTTTTCTTTTTTTCTTCTCAGAAGAAGTCTCGTATACTGAAATTCGAATTGCTTTTCTGCTACTAAATTCGTTTTATTCTGATTTGGTCACTCAACTTTCAATATTTTCAGTTTCATTATTAAATTTTTGAATTTCCCTTATTTTAGTCACTTATCGTTTAACGTCGTTTAAATTTTTGGTAAATTATGGAATTTTTTTGAAACTTCCTCTCGCACCTATATTTTTATACTCCCTTTGATTCACCATAAATGATGTATTTTCTTCTAAATTCGAATGATGAAAAGGTAAAAAAAAAATCTCAATTTCATATTAATCAGACCAAGAATATGTCAAAGTTTTGAGTTGAAGTTTGTTAATTTCAATAAAAACTAAATTGAGAATAAAAAATAATAGAGAAATAGGAACATTTTGGTAATAATACATCACAGATGATGTTTGATAATGGTCAAAACGTAGTGAAAAAGAATTTCGGTCATGGAGAATAAGAAAATTAAGATTTAAAGAAAATATCAACACGAAAAACTCCAAAACGCTGGGTTTGGGTGCTGGTGTTAGACAATTAATGGTCAAGGGAGTAAAATATAAGGAAAATTCGAAAGTTTTAGAGATAATTTTCAAAGTTAAATGACTGAAACAAAAATACATATAAAATTGAGTTTCCAAAAAATAATTTACCCAAAGTTAAATCCGAAGATGTGTATATTTTTTTTTTATAAAATCCCAGCAGAAGTGCTCAACTCAGAAAATATTTATGCTCGGCATCAAATACTCGGGATATATTTGAACATAACGTGCATGGGATAGCCGTGAAGTTGCAGTTCAGAATTTGAAATCCTTGGCCATACAGAAAATTAACTAAGCTGGTAGTAGGGCGATTAATTCACCTCACCGTGCCGTGCTCGTCTCTTGCAAAAGTGGCAAAATCGAAGCTCTGTCGTTTGTGGGAGGGTTAAGCCAACCCTTCTTAATTCACTCCTTATCCACGTCTACATCAATATGTGATTGCTGCAGCCCCATGGGTAAGGGGAAATTGAAATTCCTCCCGTGAGAAAATTTGAAAACAAAGTTACACTGGTTCGTATCCTGTAAGCAACCTGTAACATTTAATTCAAAGAGGTAAACTTGATTTTGTCTGAATTTTTCATATTATTGTCTTTCCATTGATTTCAAATATGGGTTTGACGGGAAATTTTGGATTTTTCCTTTGTTGGGTAATAAAAATATTACTAACTTGGTAGAGAAAAATATGTTTAGTCTGTGCAGATAAAGCCGTACCCGTACCAAACCTGAAGCAAGCTGTTTAGAAACAATGAAAAAAAAATACCCAATTTGTTAGTACAACCTTTGAGGATCATTGTATTTTTGTTTACTTTACATGCGTTTGGATCGAAGAAAAGATTATTATCAAGGGGAACAATCTTTTCAGAAATCATATATCAACGTTTGGTTTAGAAACATTCTCACCAAAAGGTAAAGAAGTATTGTTAAAAATGTTTTTTCCCCTTTACATTCTTGAAAATCTCATTCCTTGTATATCTTAGTATTTAACAATTCCTATTAAATTAGACAGAAATATCCTTGAAATAAAAAAAATATTTCAAAACTACCATTTCTTTTATGATAAATCTCTAGTTTTACGTCATAATTTCTCCTCTTTCAAAGCTACCCTTAAAATAACATAATTCTTTTCAACAATCAAGCAACCTATTTTATGGTTGCACCACATTTTAGGTTGCACCACTTTTTCAAGTTGCACAACATTTTTGGTTGCAATTCTTTTTTATGTTGCAACCCTATTTTAAAGTGATGGTTCCTTACATAGTGGGACTCACACCCAACAGTAAATTTATAAATATTATATATATATATATTCTTTATTATATTTTATTTATTAATTTTATCAAATAATTTGATATGATATTTTGTACAAAATAATGTAGCAATTAACACATACGTATACCAGTGTAAGTATGTACATCTTTCAATACGTTGATACCTAAAAATAAACACATAATTATATTGGTGTAATTTTATTGTATTGATGTAAGTATATTTTTGTATTTTTAAAGAAATAAAAAATAAATATGATAAAAATATATATTAAGTTATTTATGTAGAAATTTTATTAAAAATATATAAATTAAAAATAATAAAAAGTATATTTTCTATCAACTTTCATTTGTTAAAAAAGAAAACTATCTCAAGGGCAATTTGGTTAAACATACATTGTTTTTTATTAATTTTATATTTCTTCATCCAAACACTGTAATTTTATATTCATATCAAACAAACCAAACAAGATAAAACAATATTTTCAGTAATGTGTTAAGTAATACAATATTCCTACTGATAATCTTACATTTTTTGAACCAAACACCGGTACATAAATATACTGATATTTTTTGAATTTCTTTGTATTCAGTTAACCCATGTAAGCTTAACAGCTTATAAGCCAAGGTGAAGATGTTTTCTTTTTGGTTTCCATCTTCAGGTATGAATTACAATTTATTATGTAAACTTTTATTGAATTACAATTAAAGCTGGCCATTCGTTTATTAAAAAGATTGATCACACTATTATTGTATAAGCTAAATCATTCGTTTATTGTAATTTTGTTCATTTTTCCTGTTATGACCCTCGGATTTTATTTGGATGTGTATTATTACGTTTGTTAATAATTTCTTACGATGTTTGATTCTAATTTACAGTTTTTAGTGGTCTTTTAATAGATTAATCTCTTTTTGTAGTTCGTTTGCCGTTGCAATCAGATTTGTTCGTATCTATTTTTTGTTCGAGTCTTTTAGTTGGGTTTTTAACCTTTTCCATATATAACACTTATAGATCTAAAGTGATTAGTTTCAATGTTATAAGAAAATGTCTAAATTATATGATTAATTTACGATGATAGTTGTAAACTCTTATTATAATTTTTTATTTTTTAATAATATCAACGACTTCTATTCAAACAAAAAATATATATAAAGTTTACCTATCTAAATCCACTAGTAGACTAGAACCTAGCGATGTATTCAGTTTGGTTTGATTTGGCTTTTCACTAAAATATAAATTGTATCAAACTTTGTGGATTTTTAAAAATTGAAACCAAAATCAAATAACATAAAAATTATAGTTTTCGGTTTGGTTTATAATTTTTAACCGTTCGCTATTTTTCAAACTCAACCTCAAAAAGAAAAAACAAGTTTAAAGCTTCAATCGAGTGCAAATATATAAATTTAAATTTAAAAGAAAATATTAATAATTTAAAGATTTTATTTATTTAAATTTGTCTTATAGTAAATCAAAATAAATTTGTTTTGGATAATTATTTTATATATTTATTTTTAATTCAGTTCAAACAGTTTTCAAATGAAAATTTTGAAATCGAATCAAATTATATATTTATGTTTCAAACAGTATCAAAACCGAACCGTAAATTAAAAAACTTGAAGTGAATCGAGTAGCATAGTCCGATTCACATCGATTTTTTTTCTCAATTTTGGTGTTCAATCATAGTAAAAATTTTTTTTCCCTAAAATTATTATTTCTCCTTCTCTTTAAATAAGATTAAAATTAAATTTAAAAATGGTTAAAATATATACGAAGGGCTTCACGCTTAAGATTATATTAGTCATAAACAATAAATGTTTAGGGGTCAAAGAGCAAAACAGAAGAAAAGAAATTTATCTCAAATTCAAGTAGTATTAGTCGTCACAACCACCCAGACTTTATATCCAGATTTTGCCATATGAAAATTGACAACAAATAATTTTAAATTGTGCTGATAATATGAATAATGCTTCGATACTGCAATCGTCATAAATAGAAAAGAATTGTCTATCTCCCCCTCTAAGTATGCAATCACATTGTTCTAAAATTAAATGAAACCAAACAATTACGTGGAATTTCTTTCAAGGAAGTAATAGGTTTTAGAAAAGAGTTTTAAATATCTTATATAATAAAAGTATATAATATTCAACGACTACATGCCATATATAGCCATCTATTCCCGCTATAGATCGATAGCCTGTTCTAAATATATTATTTATCTCTCATCCCCTTCACTGCAAATTCTGATAAAACTCCTCCTCTTCTCCGTCACCCTGTTTTTACAGATTGCTCTCTCAGTCACAGATTTGTAACAATGGCCATGGAAGTTGAGCAGTTGAAGTCTGCAGCGGAAGATCAGATGGAAATGGTGATGGTGATGATGATGCAGCAGATGGAAAAGCTCCCTGAATTCTACGGGGCCTACAACGACGTCGTTGGATTGCCTCAAGCTGAGCCTGATCATGCCGGCAATAGTCCTTCCAGTGATAGCATCAATGGCATGCCACATTTTGTTCAAAACCCAACCGTTGGTTCACCCGGTGCATTCACAAACCTGCCAACTACACCACCCACTATTCCATTCAATGGTTCAACCCCGGTTCAAGAACGAGGAGGCCCGGGTTTCTCTTTTACCCAAGCAGGTGCAAATTATGCGTATCCCACATCATCCGGGGAGAAGAATTCAGTGGCAGCAATGAGGGAGGTGATATTCCGAATAGCAGCAATGCAGCCTATACATATAGACCCTGAATCGGTCAAGCCGCCGAAGAGGAGGAACGTGAGGATATCAAAGGACCCCCAAAGTGTGGCGGCGAGGTACCGGAGGGAGAGGATAAGGATACTTCAAAGACTCGTCACCGGAGGAACCAAAATGGACACTGCTTCCATGTTAGATGAGGCCATTCACTATGTCAAGTTTCTGAAGACTCAGGTGCAGTCACTGGAGAGAGCTGCCATTAACAGGTCAACCGGGATAGGGTTCCCTGTACCAATGTCAAATGGGAGTTTTCTTCCAATGGGAAAGCCATATCAGCCTACTCAAAGCCTTCAGGAATTTGGAGATGCTTGGCTAAGCATAAATTCAGATTATTGGTATAAATTACCAACCTTTTTTTATAGATGTATAAAGAATAATTAAGAAAAAACGATGATGGAGAATTAATTAGATTGTGTTCATGTTTAGGCAACGTAATCCAGGTTGTATTGCTATATCAGATGGCCTAACTGCTTTAGATTAATACAGTGTTTTTTTTTATCTTTTATATATTCATGATCATCTCTCTGTTTTAGCTATGAACATCAGTGAATATAGTATAATCAGAAATGTCGCGAATCCAAGTAGTAAATTAGTGGGTGTTGAAATTAAGATTAACCCATAAAGGAGCCAATTTGGGTGCGGTTTAAGGTGATGTTTTGATGAATTTCCAAATTCCAAGACATTTTGAGAGAGAGAAATGCATGGAGAAATTATGGGATGGGAATATAGAATAGCAATGCGGAAATTCGATGACGTCGTTTTCCTTTTTTTTAGCCTTATGATTTTAATTTTTTGCCTTAAATAATTCAGATCGATCCGCGTCATATACCTATTTTTGGTGGGAGAGTCTCCAAACAGTGATTTTCTGCATGCACAAAGACTCGAACTCGAGACCTTACTTAAATGATATCAAGCTATATACTACTTAAACCAACTTTATTGATAACCACGTTTTCCTTCAACATCTGTTCACTTGAACATACTCAACTCTGCGACCCCTTTCTCAAGTAAGCCCTACTTTGCACTTAATTTGCATTCCTACACCAATTCAATCAAATCAAATCAAATATGCATTGATCAATGATAGAAGTATTGAAATCCAAATGAAATCTTGAATGTTGCATGTCTTGCCTACATTATTATCCAATTATCTCTCTATTCCTTCGTAGAAATGGCTATTATACGTCAAAATAAGCATGCATTACGTGCCGACACTACCCATTTCGTTTTCACATCAAAGTTTATACTTATACTGTAGTACAACGTGCTCTTTTTCTTTTTCTTATAACGTTTGGATGTAAAAGAAAACTAATATTATTCGACTCTTTACTTTTACAGAACAATTCTTATAAACGGACAGTTGTGTTATGATCTTACACTATATATTTCAAGAATAAAAGTTTCAGACAGTGAGTATTTATAATAAAATGGAAAGGGTACGTATGTTTTTCATGTGAATTATGAAAGAAAAGGAATGGGAGAGGTTCAAAGAACTAAAACGTCGTTTTCTTGATGGGGGGTATTACCATCAAAGATGTGGATTGGGTGGGCTTCTCTTCTCTCGTAAATGGTAAAAGATTGAAAATATACTGAAGATACTAATTTTTTACTCATATTAATTTATTTATTATTATAATTATAATTATTATTATTATTATAATTATTATAATTATTATTATTATTATTACAAATATTATTATTATTATTATTATTAAATATATATATATATATATATATAATAATAATAAAAAAATTATAAACCAAATTTCCAGCCCAAACCAAACTGAAACCCAAAACATTTAGGGTTTTAGTTAGGGTTTTCTAACCCTAGCCCCATGTCCAGCTGCCTCTGCCTCCAGCCGCCTCAGCCAACGGTCCAGCTTCCAGCCGCCTCTGCTGCCAGTGCCACGCCTCCATCGAAGCCTCCAGAAGACCCAAATGGTCACCCACGTTGCTACTCTAGCAGTGAGTCACCACATAGATCGGTGACTCACCGAAGAGCCCTTTTGGGACCGGTCCGATGGCCACACCGGTGATGGCTATAAAGCCATCACCCCATCTGCAAGAAAAAAAAACCACAAATAGAGACAGAGAGACAGAAAACATAGAGCAAACGTCCCACAACCAGCAAAAAAACCAAAACAGAGACAAAAAGAAAGGAAAGAAGCTTACCGAGGAAGCCACCGAAATCTTCAAACTGCACCAAAACCTTCGAAAATACCGAAGGTATTTCTTTGGATTTGCTCCGATTGGGAGCTATTTAGGAGAAAATAACACCGGAACCGCCATTAGGGCGGTCCGATCTACGTTTCAATGAAAAAAAAATTATTCCGGCCACCGAAGACGGTGGCCGGCGGCGGGATCCACGCCGGCAAGCGGCGGCCGGCCGGAGAGCTTCTCTCTTTTCTAGAGAGAAGCGAGAGAATTTCTTTCTCTCAGAAGAGAGAGAGAGAGGGAAGAGAGGAGAAATGAAGCTGGCCCTTTGGACCAGCTGATTTTGGGCTTAAATAGCCCTTCCCGAACGACGCCGTTTTGGGAAGGGCTATTCGTGTAATTAAAGAATAGTTAAATCATTTCTGCAACCATCTAAACTTGTAAACTTTCCATTTTAGTCACTAAATCAAGTTTATAATACTTTTAATTTGATCTTTAAATTTTAATTTTATTTATTTTAGTCCTTTATATTAAAATAATATATTTAGGATAAATAACAGATTTAATCCCTTAATTTTAATAAATAATATTTTAATCCTTAGTTTATATTTTTTTTCTAAAATCTGAATTTTAGATAATTTTATTTTAGTCACCAAATAAATAAAATAAAGAAATAGCATGTTTAATCCCTATAATTTTGATTAATTATGAATTAGGTTTTTAATTTTACTTTTACTATAATTTAGTCATTTATTTTAAATGTTTTCATTTATTTTACTGCTTTTAAATATATCGTTCTGGTTTTATTTTTATTGTTTTAATTTTACTTGTTTATATTTTTAAATATTTTTATTATTATGTATTCATAAATATATATATATAATAAATAATAATTTATTTTTTAAATAAATTATTTTTATATTTATTTTTTTAATACCAAAGAAAATGACAGTCTTAATACAACTGGATGTCCTATTCTGGTATTTTAAATTATAAAAAAAATATATATAAAAAATTATATTATTTAATTTTATTTAAATTAATATTTATCAATATCAAAGAAAAGAGCTGTCTTAAGGCACCTAGAAGTTCTTTTCCGATATTTTTTTATGTTTATATAATTTTGAAAAAATAGGATTATAAATTAAATATATTTTGAATTTTTTTAAATTTATAATAATAGAGACAATTTATAATTAAAAAGTACCAATTTTGGGCGTTGTAGGGGTGCTAATCCTTCCCTAAACGTAACCGACCACGAATCCCTTTTTATTATTAAAAAGAACGAATTTTTGGTTATAAATGCATATCAGTTCATTTTTTTATTGGTGTTTTCTTAAAACTCTTTAAAAAATAATTTTTAGGTATTCGACCTACCTGACCCAAAAGGCCGATGGCGACTCCCAAATTATTTTCAAAAACATTTATTTACATCAATTTTCCTACCAAATAAAATATTTCGTGCCCGGGCGAAAACCGGTTACGACAGCTTGTCGACTCTGCTGGGGACTGGTCAAACTTTTAAAAATCAATTATAAATTGTCTCTATTAATTAAAAATTAAAAGTTCATATATTTAATTTTTAATTATTTCTTTTCAAAATTTTTATATTTACTTATTATTTTCATAATATTTATATGTTTTATTTGCAAGTATTTTATTTCATTATTTATTTTTCTGTCAAAGGTTTGAACATTTCTCCTCACACACAACACTTGCATTGCATAACATAAAGCTCTATAATTGAGTTGTCCCTTTTAAGTGGAAGTGAAAGCGACGTCTTCGTGAGAATTTATTCTCCGTGTCAGACCTAGCAAGTAACTTTCGGGGTTCATATGCTCTATGTCTTCGTGAGAATTTATTCTCCGTGTCAGGCATAGAGAAATGTATCCCCTCGAATTGAACTCGATCCACTTTAGTCTGTAATGGACTAGGGTTGAGGGTTAGCAACCCAATGGGGCACTAACAAGGACAATTCGGGTACCTTTATTCTTAGATCTGAAACCCTGCATATAATAAACCCTAGAAACTCTTCCGATCTGAAGTCATGCCAAAATTTTGTCCAAAATAGGTGTACACACAGGAGAAATGAATTCTAACTTTCTTGTTTATTTATTTTCTTTACTGATTAAATTACATGTATATTTAATTTTTTTAAATTTTGAAAAGCATGTTTAAATAAAAATATTTAGATAAATGTTATTATTAAATTTCTTTATTATGTGAACTAATTTATTTCTTTTTGTGTGTTCTTTATTTTTTCTGTTTGCATAGCATCATACAGGATAAAAGGCATTGATCCTTGTGTTAATTGTCTCATTGGAAAGCCTTCATCCATGGATAAAAAGTGTTCAAACCAAGTAATTCTAAACTCAGAAGTAAGACAGTGGGCTGAGGATTTACAAAGACAAGAAGGAGACAGTCTGCAGGATGATTATGTATCTGACTTAGCCAGTTATGCTCCAGTTTCGCTAAAAAGAAATGATATGCAAGATTTGCGAAGTATTTGGGAAAGTTGGGATTCAAACAAAAAATTGCAGTTTTATCAGACTTACGGAGACATCCCATATTTTCTCTATGTCGAAGTTGATGATTAATTACTCAGAGCCCTAGTTCAATTCTGGAATCCAGGGTACAATTGCTTCACTCTCAATAAAGAGGATTTGGTCCCTACTATTGAAGAGTACACAACTTTGCTACATATAGATGGGGCTTTGGAGAATCGAATCTATTCAAAGTCAATTAAAACTCAACCATTTCGAGTTAAATTAGCAAAGATTGCCGAGGTACGAGAAGAATGGGTGGCATCCCGTACAAAACAAAAAGGCGAAAGCGAAGGCATTGCTTGGACCAACATTAAAGAACTTATTCAGAGTCATCCAGATGTTAAAGTACGATTCGATTTATTTGCTCTGGGTATGTATGGTATGGTCATCTTCCCAAAAGTATTGGGATATGTTGAAGCTGCAGTGGTAGATTTGTTTGAACAGCTACCGAAAAAGATTAATCCTGCTTCTGCAATTCTAGCAGAGACCTTCAGATCGTTAAATGCTTGTAGAAAGCTAGGAGGTGGACGATTCTCAGGGTGTACCCAGTTGTTATATGTGTGGATCGTAGTCATTTCTGGAGGACAAAAAAGGTTTCAAACCGACGCTTTAATACGGATTACTCACCATTAAAAGAATTTCTGGAGCAGGAATGGCCGAAAGAAATTAAGAAAGATATGTGGATTAATGCCTTTCGAAATCTGCAAAGCAATGACATTGTTTGGCGAGTCCCGTGGCAAATACAAAGGGAATTCATTTACAAATGTGGAGATTACAACTG